AGGATGGAGTCCTCCGACGCAGGGTCGGTGAGCTCTAGGCGACAATTGGTTATTGCCAGGACTACCGCATGGATTGCCTCGCGGGCGCCGGCGGTGAGTTCACTGAAGATTTCTAGACGAATTATCTTCAGAACCGCATACAGGCGACAATTGGTTATTGCCAGGACTACGGCATGGATTGCCTCGCGGGCGCCGGCGGTGAGTTCGCCGAAGATTTCTAGACGAATTATCTTCAGAACCGCATACAGAGAGGCGTTGGTGGAGGCGGAGGTTACATCATCGCTCTGTATGATGTCGAGGAAAGGGGAGAGGTAGAGCATTGGGTCGAGGGAGTACCAGCTGCCGCGGAGGGGATGGAAGATGAGGGAGCGAAAGGATTGGAGGGATTTGACGAGTAGGGAGTTATGGGAGTCGGTTTCGGAGCCGCCGGGGAGGGTGGTGGCCGCTGTGGCGTCTGTAGGGCTACGAATCACCGCGAGCATCATGCCCACCTCCGTATTGAGCGCGCAGGAGATGCCCAGCTCGTGAAGCCGCCGGTCTCGATGAACTCGCCCACCGCAGGCCGGAGGTGACCGGTTTCCGGCATCGTCTTCATCGGCCGGTCGAGCCATTAGATGAGCGATTCTCTAACTGAACATTCTAATTTTTTGCGAAAAACGTTGCTCCCCGCAATTTCTTAGGGGTTTTAGGTTGTTGAAAATAACGCACCAGCCACCCAAAACTTCATTATTTACATTCTTGCCACATGATGTAATTAATAAAATGAAAAAAAATTAAATAATTAATATTAAAACAAAACAAAAATGCCTAAAAAATTTAAATTGTGGATTTAATTAATTATCAATCTATTTAGGTGATTTAAAAAAATAATTAATTAATGAAATTGAAATTAACTTAATACCGTAATTTCAATTAAATTAAACTAAATACTTTAACTAGTTAATAAAACCGAAAACCAAATAATTAATTTAATAGCTCTGAAAATTTATTAAAATTAAATTTAAATATTTCATTAATTTAAAGTAGATATTTTAATTAACTAATTTATTTAATAAAACCATTTAAGTATTTTATTTAATAAAGCTGAAAAACTCTCCCCCATTTAATTAATTTAAATATGTTAGTTAATCAATCTAATAATTAATTTAATTTTTCAATAATTAACATTTCAATTAAACAATAAAATTAACACCTCAATTAACTAATTGATAGTTTAATTAACAATTTAGACATCTAATTAACCCATTAACAATTTAATTAAATAATTTAATTCCTAATCCGCACAATAATGATTAATTGAAATGGAAATATGTAGATGTGAATAACTGGTCGTTAAACAAATCAGGCGAACACAAACAAACTTTTTATGTTCAAAATATAAATGAGCCGAACACCAACAATAATATTTTTTTAATGAGCCCAACATGAGCTGAGCGTGGACTCTCTCGTATTCGGCTTGTTTACACCCCTAATATATACACAAGAGCAAAACAACCAAAATAGACAAATAAAAATTAAAGGGAAAAAAAAAAACAATATTTGGTGCGATATTATGACAAGGCTATAAAGTGCTTGCTTCTATAAGAACAAAATAGGAACTTTCATAAAAAAATTACATATTACACCTTCAAAAGAAATCCTAAATTGAAAACGCCCTCACATGATTCAAAGCAGAAAAATAAGGGCATTTACATGCATACCACACAATTCTTATGTATTTACATATCTAACCCCAAAACATTCATATTTACATGCAAAAACATTCATATTTACATACCCCAAAACATTCATATTTACATGCATACACCACAAATTTTTGACATCACATTTAAAAAAAAACTACCATCATCATTACCTTTTAAAAGTGAAATACATACACATTTTCATGTATAGATTTATGACTCTAATTTGTTATGAGCGTAAATATCAAATTTTGAGTGTCGGATATGTAAATACATAAGAGTTGTAAGGTAAATATGTAAATTTCCCAAAAATAAATCACTTCTAGTCAAGCATAACAACCTTAGGCCTTTTGTTTCGCCTAACATCCGTCGATAATTCGTTTACAAACCTACTCTTACATTCAGAACTCGAACTGTTTTCATCAGCATCACTATCATCACCGTCGGAAGAATCAGCGCTCGTCGACGAAATCGACGGCCGAAAACCACACATCGACGTTTCGGCCGCCGAGACGGCTTCATCGCTACGAAGATCCGCAACGCCCAAAAGCAAATCCTGCAAACACAGAACTATTAAAAAATGAAATACAGCTTTTTATCCATGGGTTAGATATGTAAATACATAGGAATTAAGCGGTATGTATGCGAATCTTCCTTTTTAATTTTATGATGTTTTCAAGGGAAGTTATTGGAATGAATTGGTGAAATACCAACTGAATAAATTTATCTTCATCATCATTCAGCACTTCTATATCATAATTTGAAGAAGGGTTCTCCTGAAACAGCAATGGAAAGAGTATTTGAGATGAGGAGAAAGTATAGCAAGTGCAGAAAAATAAACTAATGGAGTTCTAAGATTCATGCCTGTGCTCTCAGCTCCAGGTCTTGATTAGCTTTAGCCATGACTTCAAGAAATTCCTCAACTTTTCCAATAACTGGGAATACATGCCAAATGAGATCATAATAAGACTTGGATCATAAAATGGCATACATACCAATCAATTGTTATGTACTTGCATATCTAACAAATAAACTACAATTTTTACTACCTATGCATCTGAAGGGCATCTGTAGTTAAAACAGTGCCAATCAATTATATCTAACAAATAAACTACAATTTTTACTACCCTATGCATCTGAAGGGCATCTGTAGTTAAAACAGTTTAAAAAATGGGAAATTTACATATTTTAAGAAATGGGAAATTTACATCTGTACTACCCAAATCTTATGTATTTGCATATCTAACACCTGAACTTCAATTTTTATCATGCCACCTTATCTATGCATTAAAATGTGTATTTCACCTTTTAAAAGTTAAAATGGTGGCATTTTTTTGTGTGATATGAAAGATTTGGGTGGTATTAGAGCAAAAAAGTAAATCTTTTTTCTTGTAGTCCTACTAAGCCTTCTTCTAAAATTTTTAAGGGGCATTTACATACCTAGGAGTCATTTCTCTAAAAGGATTATGTGAGAAATAAATATATTAGATATGGTTGGATGGAGCACCAGTTGAAAATAAATAACAAAAAAATAGTTTAACAATTACATACAAACCACATGAAACATTGATATTTACGAATTAACTACCCAAATGAGTTTTTTGAACTCCGAACTGATGTATTTACGCGTGCCACAATCAAACTATTAAAAAATAAAAATGAAAAATAAGGGTTGGAGTTTTATCATGAATTTTGATATTTGGGTTAGAATTTAAAACAAATGGATGAAAGACGTGGTTGATTTGTAAATAGCATGTTTCGGGTGGTCGGTATGTAATCTTTGAGAAAAGGGGTGTGTTTTATTAATTTATAGTGTTAAGAAATTAGATGGTTACAAAAACAAAATATGAGGCGTACAATAGGGACTTACTTTGCTTGAATAAAATTTTATTATGTTTTAATCTAATAGTTCTTGTTCGATGTTGATTCCTTTTGAGTAAGATGCGAGAGCTGCTACTATAATCACATGTTATCCAGTGAATTTTGCATTTATAATCAACAAAAAGGGCAATGTATTCCAATACTGTTCATACCAGAAGAACAGGATAGTAGTTCATTCAGTTCTGTAATGGAAAATAAAAAGGATGCTTTACAAACATGCCGCACAATTCCTATGTATTTACATATCTAACATCTAAACCTTACCTTTCTTACATTTATGTCATTCTACCTATCCATGAAAGATGAGTTTTTTGCTTTTTAAAACTTAGTAATAGCAATATTTTTGATGTGATATGAAATATTTGAGCGTTGTAGATGTAAAAAATCAAACTTTACGTGTTAAATATTTAAGTAAATAAAGATTGTGTGGGAAGGAAGAGAAAGCTTGCGAAGAATAATCACCTTGGCTTTTAGGAAGTGGAGAAATTAATGGCCTTTCTTTTTGTTTAACGTAGTTTTGGTGCTTATGTTCCGGCAGAGGTGGAGGATCCTTGCGGCAAAGAAGAAGGTCATCTGAAAAATATTTGCATTTATATCATAAAACAATAAAATTTGTAATCATAAATTGAATTTTCAGAGTAAAAATTTACAATAATTAAAGAAAATGTACCCAGCAGAGAAGGCCTCTCAACATGATCCAAGAGCTCTTTGCTTGCGTTTGGCATTGCAGCCTCAATAATTAATAGAACAAATGCTAATAGGCACTGTGGGTAAAGAATAACATTTTAACATCCACTCAATTAAATCTAATTAATTTCATAACAACATAACATAAAAACTTAATAATCTACGTGCTGAAAAAGACCAAATAAGAGGGACATTTACATACATACCAGCCAATTCCTGTATATTTACATATCTAACACCTAAACATTACTTTTAGCATCTATACCACCCAATTCGTTCATATCACATCAAAAATACCACTTTTTTAACTTTTAAAAGGTCATGCATAGGAAAAGAGATATATATTTGTAAGAGTTGAAGTTTAGGTGTTAGATATATAAATACATAGGAATTGAGTGGTATTTATGTAAACCTTCCTTTCTTCTATCTTTAGATTTCTACTTGCTTTATTAGAGGCTCTCTTGTTGCTCTTCATCTTTCCTTTTCTATGTAATTTTATTTTTATTTTAAAAATGACTATTTTTATTTTTTACATTTATACCATCCATATCTTTCATATCAAATGAAAAATACTATTTTAACTTTCAAAAGGTGAAATACACCTTTTCATGCATGGGTAAGGAGCACGTATGTAAAAATTGAAGTTAAGGTGTTGGGTAAGTAAATCCATAGAAATTGAGGGTATGCATGTAAATCTTTCTTAGTATTTTTATTGTTTAGCCAAGTTTTACATATCCACAATAGCGAAATGCTAAAGCCAAATCTAACAAATAATTTTCTATATTTAATTTACTGTAATCAAAATGACTCGCTAATTATAATGCAATATATTTACCTTGCATATTCAAAATATATGCACCATGAACGCGTGACAACCTCCAAGGTTTTTTTGCTTGCGTCAATATACTTTGTAATAAATGTCATTTTTTTCTCTTTATTTTTTGAAGATTTACATACATAATGCCCAATTCTGATCATTTACTTATAAGTAAAGTGTTAAAATAGTCTCCAACTATTTACATGTGTGAGGCTGTTTTAATCTCAGAGTTTATAGAAGTGTCAAAATAATCCTCAAATTCTTTAAATTGAGACTGAAAGAGTCTATATGGTATTAGAGCTCAATTTTAAAATACTTGAGGCTATTTTAGCACTTCTATAAATTCTGGGACTAAAACAACTCCATGTAAATAGTCGGGGATTATTTTTACTCATTTGCTTATCTAATTACCTAAATTTCAATTTTTACATATATATATATGCGACCTTACCTATCCATGAAAAGGTGTATTCACCCTTGAAAGTAAAAAAAAGTGGTGTTTTTTGTTGTGATATGAAAGATTTGGATAACATAACTGTAAAAAAGAAAATTTAGTTGTTAGACATGTAAATACATAAGAATTGAGTGGTATGCATGTGAATGCCCCTTTAGTTTTTCTTTTATATATCACACAACTCTTTTGTATTTGCATATCCAACACCTAAACATTCGTATTTACATGCATATCACCCTAATCTTTAACATCACGTAAAAAATACCACCATGACTACCTTTTTAGAAGAGAAGTACACATTTTAGTGCATAGGTTTATAAACCTCGAGGTGTTAATAGTGCAAATATCTCAGGTGTTAGATATATAAATGCATAAGAATTGTCTGGTATTTATGTAAATTTCTCTTTTAAGTTTTATGGATGTGGGTTGTATATCTAACAGATCTAATGTCTCCACGGATTGTGCCACAAAATGTGTGTTTTGGTAGGGGCACATGGGCAGCAAAAGACAGAAACTAAACATAAGTGTAACGCTGGATTTGAAAATCGTCGAGAATGCACTTAAAACATATGCCCTTGGGTAATTTCTTTTGCTTCTTATCATATGAAATAAAAATATATATTTTGAAGGTGCAGGAAAACTGAAACCAATGCCCTACAAATGTAGCAGACAATCTGTGTTTGGTAGCATGATTTAGCTTAAATCCTGCCAAAACGGTTAAATTTCTAAAATAAATCCCTCAGGGGCTGTTGGTAGCCGGTTTGAGCAGGATTTACGAAAGCTTTAATCCTGCCAAACAGCAGAAACCGCCTCCATAAATCATGAGTTCCCGTAAACCCCAAAATGGCGCCGATTCGCGATAAATCCTATGAATCCGCGGATTTAGTGAATCCGGGACGAACGAAGAGGAAGTAGGGCGGGGCTTACCTTCTTCAATGGTTTCTGGTCGGGGTCGGAGCGGAGCGGAGGATGAGTTTCGGTGGTTCTGTAAGCCGCGGTGGCCTTCCCAGCTAGCTATGCTGGCGATTGTATCGTGAAGGTTCGTTCAGGAAGCCGATGGCTTTGGGCGAAACCGGGAGGGGAGAGACATAAACTAGGGCTTCGAGCCGAAAGGGTGAGAGGGGGGCGGATGTAACCGTGGGTGTTTAATTCAGGGATAATTACATACAGATCATTCCAAATAATGGTATTTATAGATTGATTAAATTCATGTATTTATGCATGTAATCATCGAATTTGATAAAAATGTTAAATATAGGTTAAGATTTTATCATTAATTTTTAATAATAAGACTAAATTAATTAAAAACAAAAAAAAAATATTTATTATATGATTTGATTAAAAAATACTTCTTATATTTAATTGTATTTATATCATCTTAATTGAGGATTGTTAAAATATTTTGTCATGTTAGTATATGTAATTTAGTTAGTATAAATAGGGGTGTAAATGAGCCGGACACAAGCGAGCCCATACTCAGCTCGTGTTCGGCTCGTTTATATTTCGAGCTCATAAAGTGTGTTTGTGTTCGTTTGCTTAATGAGACGAATGAGAGCCGTTCATGAATAAAGAGTCATTTTGACAACTCTAATCACATAGTGTGTTCGTTTGCTTAATGAGACGAACGAGAGCCGTTCATGAACAAAGAGTCATTTTAACAACTCTAATCACATAGTCATAAGATGTTAAGAATTGAGACAAGATTTAAAACATAATTTTTATCTAGTTTAATAATTTTTATTTTATTTTCTTCATTAATACTTTTAATTGATTTGTAGCCTTGCAGTCAATTTTGTAGTCCATTAATTTTTGTAAAAATGCTACTCATTAAAGAGATATATATAATTAAATAGTAGTATTTAGAGCCAAAACGAGCCGAACGCTAACGAACAAATATTGTTCGTGTTGTTCTTGTTCAGCTCGTTAACTTAACAAATGAGTCAAACACGAGCTGTTTGCGAACAACGAGCCGTTTTGACAACCCTAAGTATAAATATAATTAATAATAAGTTAGATTTTACATAACAATCATAAAAAAATTAAATATAATATTTTAACTACTTAAATTTTAAATATTATATTTTAAGCACTCAATATTTTAAATATAACATTTTAGTCATTTAAGAACAAAGTAGAGTGGTTGTAATGAAAAAAATAATTAAAATGTAATATTTAAAGTTTGGGTGATTAAAATGTTAAATTAAACTTTTCGGATAAATGATACATAAAAATCTCAAATATTAAATAAATTAATCGTTATTATTAGAAAAAAAATATTAAAATATTAATAATATTTTAAAAAATGACTAAATAAAAGTTATCAATTGCTTTGGTTTTGTTAATGAGTAATTTTGATGTTAACTTTTGTTAATCAAGATTTAGTTATTTTAACTAATATTGTTCGAAATATGTAAAAGCTACTGTAATAAACTCGGCCGTGTTGTGTTCATCACTCTTCAGGCTTCTTGCTCCGAAATTTCGCCGGAGAAATTGGCTGCCGCCGGGACTATGTCGAAGGCGAAACAATCTGTCTACATCTCTTCCTCATCAGACGATGAAGAAGACGAAGAAGAAAGCTCAGGGCAAGAGGACGAAGAAAGCGACTACGAAAGCGAAGAGGAAGAAGATGAGACGGAAAGTGAGGAGGAAGAAGATGAAGAGGATGAATCAGAATCAGAGTCAGATCAGGAAGTAGAGGTGGAATCGGATGAGAGTTCCGATGAGGAGGGGTGTGAGTACGTTAGATATCATCCATGATCCGTCTTTTAACTCTCATTTATCTGTTATTGTGAAGTTATGACCTACAGGGTTATATTGATTTTTTTCTGGCGATGTTTTGGGATTGGATACCCAGCGAAGACGACAGCATTGAGGACGAGGACGACGATGGTTGTGATTGGAAGGAGGGTAAACTTACAGATAAAGATCTTTGTGACAAAGTCGTTAATCTTCTTTGCCAAAGTATTTCCCTCAAACCTTTTCCCAATCACAAATTTTCAATTAAGCCCCCTATTTCCTCTACATCTTATATACCAATCGGCCAAGCTGACTACAAATTTGCATCAGTTTACATTCTGATTGGATTTATTTATTTATTTTTGTTCTAATTTTGGAAAGAAGATACATCTTCTCACAGGCGCGCATATCTTGTTGATATGAACGGGGTATTCTATGTTGAATTACGACGATTAATGATTCTGGCTTATTATACATGCTGTTCTACTATTTTTTTTCCTTACTATTTTTATCAAACAGGAAACAAAAAATTGGATGTACTGAAGTTGGAAGAGTGCAAAGCCTATTTGAGAAAACATGAGCTAATAATAAGTGGCGGAAAAGCAACCTGTATCCAACGAATTCTTGAGCATTGGAGGTGAGCGATAGATATACCTTTGAGAATTTTTGAAGCTGCCTAGATTTACATTCTTTTATGAACCCTTGAGTCTGCTTGAAACCTTATGGAGTTTTAGATTAGGGGCATGGAAAGACTTTCATACCACCCAATTTCTACATATTTACATATGTAAACTTTACCTTTTTACTTTTATAACACTCATATATTTCATATCACATAAAAATACCACTTTTTTAGATATGTAAATAACGTAGTAGTTGAGTTTATGCATGCAAATCTTCCTATTATCTTGGTTATGAACTCATTTTCTTAGAAGTTGGTAAATTGCCTTATGGGAAATTAAATTTTATTTTTTTTATCATTTGTTTATGTTATTATGACCTATGATAATTTAATGGCCTTTTTCAACTCTATCGATGTATATGGAGAAGTCTTGAACGCTAGTAGTTAGTGATAGGTGGTTCCCTTGAAGCTAATCTGGTATGTTCTTATGTATTGTTTAGTCAGTTGGAAAGGTTGCAAGGTCATTTGAAATTCCTTTTGAAAATTTTTAAATGGGAATATTTACATACATAACACGCAATTCTTATGTATTTACATATCTAACAATATCTAACAACACCTAAACTTCAATTTTTACATACATGCCAATTGCCACCTTACCTATATGATGAAAATGTTTATTTAATTTTTTAAGGGTTAAAATTGTGGCACTTTTGATGTGATGTGAGTGATTTGTGTGGTATAAATGTAAAAAAGCAAAGTTTTTGCATCAGGCATGTAAATATATAAGAACTGCGTAGCATGTAGGTGAATGCCATTTTTAAATAATTTCCATGTTAAAGCTGTTTAACTGCACAAATATGTAATGTTGTTGCGTATGATGTTCAGTTAATTGTGACTGTTGAGAGTTGCAAGCTCAATTCGAATGGATTAATGCTGCTACATAAACTCATGAACTTTTGATTCAACCCAACCAAAACACCGATGAAATGTCCACAACAAAGATAGGGTGGCGTAAATAGATCCATGTTGGCAATTAATTTGACCGGACTAAGAAAAGATCATGTAATAAAACATTCGCAGCATCAACTGAACTTTTAATTATTCAGCATAAGTTTATAAGTAAATCTAAATAAAAACAATTTTGACATAAGAATATCTTCCATGTGGTTCTGCACCCAACAAGCCTACATCTACAATTAAGCTTTTTGGTTGCTTATGTTTACAAAATGACACTTCACTAACCCAAGCTTTACATCTAAGACTTCTTCTAGTATTAGTAGACTTGACAGCCACGAGACTGTAATATATAAATGTCATTCAAAATCTTCAAGAATTTTATGTTTACCAATAGATTTCACCTAGCAAATCTATGAACATTAAATCTCTACAAGAGATTGTAAAAGATGCAATACAAATTAATTTAACAGAAACACAGATGTATATTGGAGTGATTGAAACATGTAATGAGGCCTATCATTTGGTTGAAATATGACTTGATTTGATCTAACTAGCATGGAAAAGGGCCCAATTTATAGACCCAATAGTTGACCCGATAATAGGCCTCAACCATTTGTAGGAAAGCAGGTTTGATCTCAATTTAATACAGCCCATCTAGTTTACAATCTATTATAGATTTTCATGGGTGTTTCTGTTGATTAAGTTAACATGGTCATTGGAATGGGGTTCAATTCTTAATTGATCATTTACTCCCACCTTTTGGGTTGGGGAGGAAACTTTTTCCCTCTATTTTTTTCATGTTTGCTTCCACTGGCATTCCCATGCTTTGGGATGGGGCTAGTATATTAATGCATAGAATCATAATCATTAATCCTAGAGTATAGTTCTCATGTTATCCATGACATGTCTATTTTTGTCTGAAAAAAGTTAAAAATATCATATTTGAAATTTTGTTACACGAATGATCATTTTTTTGTCCATCTTCACCTTTTGCAAGTGTGATCATTGCCAACCATCTTCTCTATTCATTTCTTTAAAAATATTAGTTTTTTAACTCTCCTAGCAAACAACTTCACCAAATTACTTCTATTTTATGTTTTTGCCCCTGTCCTTCCCTTATGAATCCGTCCCTTAACTCACTTTTACTCCATAATTTTGACATATTTGCAAACCTCATCGCTTTCTGATACTAGTTTTATAGTTTTCTACTCATCCACCTGGGCTGTCTCATCTCTGCTACGTTGAGGTTGCCTTCTATGCACTTTTTCGTTTGTCAACACCAAATATCATAATAATGTATCTCTTAATACCAGGGTTCTGTTGCCTCCCACAGAATTTATTTGTCATGAAGTTTAACAGACTCTTGCCCAGCTAACATGTTTGTTTTACTTTTTATTCTCTCCTCTATTTCCCTTCCTATTCTTTGGAATAAGCAAGGCAAATTAAATTTCATCATGTTCTATGATAAATTAATCCATTTTAACATTTACTACCCATCAGAGTTGCTACTTTTTTCCTTTTATGATAATTTTTCTTACTGAATTTATTTTTACTTTCTATACTTATCATTAAACATTTAACCTCAAATCTATTACTGGTACTCACCACCTGTTGACGCAAGCGAAAAAAGATTGAAAAACGTGCCGAGGATTCGCTTCATACTTTTAATTCGCACAAGAACTGCAGAAAAAAAAGCCCGCGAAAAATGAATAGCAAATAAGAATCTAATTTTTTCCTTAGGTTTTTTTGGGGAATTATTTTTATTATTTTGTTCTTAGTTACTGAATCTAAACATGCACCTGTAATTATCATTTTCATTATGCATTCGTCAGACTAAAAGATGGAAAGGGCGAGAGGTTGTATCCAAAGTCATCATTTTCTATCAACTGTACAGGTAATATTTTATCCCCTTCACTCTAAATTCGTGTTATATCACTTGCCTAGCAGGTTGAATTGTTATTGTTGTCATTTTACAGGTGATGTCTGCCAAGGTGATGTTGTCATTTTCAAGCAACGAGTCTATGATAAGTAAATCTTTTTTTGCATTACAAAGTCTCTTTTTCACTATTGGGGCATTTACATACATAAAACCCAATTCTTATGCTTATCCAACACCAAAACTTTGCTTTTTTACATTTATATTACCCAAATCTTTCATGTAACATAAAAAATACCACTCTTTTAACTTAAAAAAAAGTGAAATACACATTTTTATGCATGGGTAAGGTGGCATATCTGTATAAAATATAGTTTAGGTGTTAGAGATGTAAATCCATAAGCATTGAGTGGTATGCATGTAAATCTTCCTTCACTATTTCACCTTGTTATTGATTTCACTCTTTGACTAGGAACCTCCTAATTTTTTTACTAGGTCCAACAAAGTTTCAAGAATTGGAATAGTTATAGGAAAGCGAACAATTGCTGGTAGGATTGTTAAGGAAAGCTATGGCAGAGCGAAGCAGCAACACACTTTTACTGTAAGTCGAGCTATAAATTACCTGATAATTATTTTGTTAAGCAGCTTATGTTTTTTTATTTTTGGTTACATGATTAAAAAGGTCGAAGTATTGTGGAGCAAAGGTGCTCATCCATTGCCATCATTACATCCTTTGCTTGTGAAGGGGCGTAATCTCTATCGATACAGAACTTTCCGCCAGGTAAAGTTGCATTTCTTATCTCTGAATTGACCATGGAATCAAATCGATGCATTGCTAACCTGTGGTCTGGCCTTGTAAATCCTTTTTGAGGGAAAAAAATAATTAGGAGCATTTACATGCATAGCACGCAATTCTTACTTATCTACATATATCACACCTAAACTTTCTTATTTACATATGGCACTCAGATCTTTAATATGACATAAAAAATGGTAATATTATCACTTTGTAAAAGTGAAAAACACCTTTTAAGCATAAGTTTAAAGCACCAAAATGCTATGTTTGTAAATATGAAAGTTTAGGAGTGAGATATGTAAGTAGATAAGAAATGTGTGCAAGATATGTAAAATTTCCCGAATAATTAAAATTTAAATTGTCTAGTTCATTGAAGCCTCTATGATGTGAAGTTTCAAGCGTACGCTTATCATTGGAGACACAAACTTTTTGCACTGCATAATTTTTCTCATTTTGATTTGTATTGGAGATAATTAGAGCCCTAGAATCTATATTTCTTTTGGAAGAGCTACATTCATACCACTCAATTCATACATATTGATATACCACTTATGAATGAAAAGGTGTATTTCACTTTTTTAAAGTCAAAATTGTGACATTTTCAATGTGATATAAAATCTTTGATTGGTATTTTTTGGCGTCAGCTATGTAAATACATAGGAATTGGGTGATATTCATATAAATTCCCCTTCTGTTTTAGTTTTCTACAGTGCTTGTCATAACTTATGTTCTCATTGTACCTTACAATAATCAATATAATATGGTACAATGGGAATTGTTAGTCTTTGATTTGGGTTTTTGACTGGATTGTAAGGCACAATTGCCAAGGTTGTTTGATATAATAGGTAATCATTTTTTATATATAAACTGCCAACATGCTAATTTTATTCCAAATAATAATCTAGTAGTCATTAAATTTTGAAATTGCACAAGAAAATTAATAAACCATGTAAAATTATAGCAATGACCAAGATTCACAATACTAAAAGGCATCTAACACTTAGCACATTTGACAGAACTTCAATCACGTACAAACTACTCAGTCGATAAATTAATGGCAAGAAAAATGATAGAAATTGCACAAAAGCTTCTGTCCTCCCACCTATATAGGGAGACCTTTTAGAGTAAGTGGCTATCAAGACCCCTGTAGCACTAAAAGAATACATGTCCAACTACTCGTGTAAGACTTGAGGATGACTAGAACTTCAATTCTTAAACGCTGAATGTTTGATGAATTTTATCTGTCTCAAGATCATGTATTTAGTCATAAAGGACCTAAAATAAAAAATTCCGCTGAATCCCCTGATATTTAATCAAAAAGTACTAGCTCTAGAATTCCCATGTCTTGAAGTTTCTAAATTTTCTAAGCAAAATTGCTCTTGGTTTTCCCAAAACAATAAAAAAAAAATTCATGTTTTATACTGCCAGTTGAAGAAAGCCAAAGAATGAACACTGCTAATCGCTAGAGTCTCAATAGTTATTGAAGAAAATTATCATTTGCTATAGTTGTAGGCCACTAAAGTAAGCTGCTAATCTCAGAACTAAGAGGCACAGTGGAAATTGTCATACCACCCATTCATTTTGTATTCTCGCATGTTGAAAAAGTTATGTGCTTTCCAATTTTGCATCATTCTGCCTAGCTTGAAGAAACTTGGCTCTAACGAATTAAGTATTTGATATTTTTTTTGCGCATTAGAGCAAAGCTATTGTACTTCTTGTTAGTTAATTACAGAGGTAAACTACTCTCCGGCCTTGCAACCCTAAACCCTAAGGTGTCAAATGAGCTGCTATGATTGACTGAGGAGATATATTAGTTATATAATATAATTTCAATATAATATTGCATGCTTTAATATTATATTATAATATAATGGATTTTTTTTTTATATAAAGTCATTGAGGTGCTGCTTCAACTATCTCATGGTGTAAAACTTTGGGGGATATGCCCAAGCAAAAAAAAAGCAGCCTCATTGATGACAATGAGGTGTAAGCGTCAAGGTGTTTGTGCGCCCATATTAAGTGCACATTAAGGCATGTGTCTCAAATAATTTTTAAACCATGAATTACGAATGCTTCTTTCATGTTGTTAATTTCGTAACAGTCCCTACTGGAAACTTTTTGGGATTTAGATGCACCATTAGCTTTTACCTGTTTGAATTGTATATGCCTCATTTTCACATCAACGGTAAACTTAAAATTGCCATAATAACTAGATCATTTTCGAACAAGCAATATAAGAATGCCAATGTGAATCTTTTGGGTAACTAATAATGATTTATAATCTTGTATATGTGATGAAATGATACAGAAAATTTGAACATGTAAACCGCACAAATATGAATGATTATATGGACAAAATGATAGCTAACTCGTATGACTTAAATGTTAATGGATATAATTTACACACTTCTAGATTTGAGCAAACCCTAAAACTCATATATTTTATGACTATTATTATTAAAATAGTCATTAACCTTGGATGCAATTTCCACCGTATACATAGCTACTACTATCATAACATATTTAATCATCATTGGCTTAATTGACTTATTGAAGAAATATGTCGAAAATTATGTTGGGAATTATATTTAGGAATGTAGCTCAATTGCCCGTCCCTCAAAAGTGTCTTCTTATGGTTGTCATTTCTTAATGAATCTATTTCCTTTTATGACCGTGTATTTTTTTGGGCATGCCTTAGGCACCTTAACTAAGGTCATTTACAAATCATGATCAATGGTCTACACACATCACAAAATTTGAATACGTAAACATTCAAGGAAATCGCGATACACCATTTGCTACTACACTCACTAAAATCATTTTCCATAAAGTTAATATATTCCAAGTTGCTATTGAATAACCTAAGATCTTAGTATTGTCAGCATTCCTTTTCTCAATATAATTCAGCGCTTTGTCATGTCATCTTTATTATCTCATGGAGTGCCAACATCGTTTATATTAAATTCTCAATTAGCCATATGAATGGTGTTACTTCAAGACAGTCAATACTTAATCCCATCAGTAGTTTATTTTAGATTCATACATAAGTGCAATTTTTTTTAAGGGTACACACGGCTTTTATCTCTTTCTCCTATCCTCTCACTTGTTGTAACTTCTCCCCACTAACGTTTCTTCTTGGTATATTCTCTTCTATATGCTCCTTTTAGGTAGCTTGCCTTATGCTCGAGAGCTTACCATTTGTACCTAACTCTCCTCAGACTCTGTTTTTTCTTCTTGACTGTGTTGCAATTGTACATTGCTATTTCAACCGAAATCATTATAAATCTCATCTCATTTTCTTATGATGTGATTGTTATTTTTATCGCTCATATAGTAATGTTGGTGATACATAACAAATTAGAAAGTCTCTTATTTGATCAGTTTTTAATGCTCATCATGTCAATTAATTGTATTTTTAATTTATTTATTTTAATTTTAGTACGGTAATATAATTTAATTTAGCAGAAATATTGTAAATATTTAATCTTATTTTGAAACCTTATAAATCCGCACAAATTAAAAATTAAAGAGAATGAATCAAACATTTAATTATTTTTTTTAATTTAGTGTGTTATTATTTGTTTCTGAATATTGAAACATTTACAACAAGAAGTTGGTGCTGCCAGCTGTTTGAGTTGGTTTGCAAATTAACCGCTGTTAAAGTTCTTAAACCCTAATATGACTTTTTATTTCTTGTTTCTTGTTCTTCTACTTCCCCACCTCCTTTCCAAAGTCTTATTACACTTCAAATCCACAAAAATTGAGCCATATTCCTTACATAGAACACCAACTTATTCTGTCCACTCGTTGTGACTAATTCGCTTAAAACTTCATAACCTCATAACCACATATTCAATTAATCTAAAATTATCTTCATTAGTTAGCTAACATTCCAAACCACTAATATGGAGGCTCTAGTTTTTTTTTCCATCAAAGTAAACCTAACCACCTACTGCAAGGCAATCTCACCTCTAAATTTGTCCATTAATTATACATTTGGCAACATTCTCGTTTGTCATCTACCAATCCTAAACTTCTCAACACCACTTCAATAGCCGTTTAAAGTTTTCAAAAGCCATCATTGATGTAAAAGGGTGAGGATTTTTTGTTAATATTTTTTTATTTTTCTCTTTCGAATGCTTAGGTGTGCATGATTCTTTTTGTCACTTGAGAGGAAGGGTTTCCATTATTCGTATTCGTCGACACTGTATGCAGGGAAGTCTGCCATATCTTGTGACAAAATATGTGTAATGATAAAAAGAAATTTTTAAAATAGCATCACTGGTGATAAATTCCCCAACTTTGATTATATAATATTCTTGAGCAACAAAGGAGTATAAATACATGATACTAGGGATATAGAGAAGGAAAGATATAATACCCAAATCTTTCATAATAACACCCAAAAGATAAAAAAGAAATACATAAATTAAGAAATACATATAAAAAAAATAACTGGATGACAACAAAATAAGTAAAAATAACTTCTATTATCCCTCTCAAGTTCAAACATAGATGTCAATCGTGTTCAACTTGAATTTGAAGTCGTCAAACAACAGCCGATAAAGGTTCTTTGTGAGGATATTTGCGAGTTGACTGCTGGATGAGACATATGAAACACAAATCTCTCCAAAATTGAGCTTCTCCTTGATGAAGTCATAGCTAATCTCTACATATTTGGTGCGATTATGTTGGACCAGATTATGAGCAATGCTAATTGCGATTTTATTATCACATAACAACTGTGGATGAGCAGAAACCAATATACATAATTCACGGAGCATGATGCATAACAAGAACGCTTCATAGATTCCCAAGGGCCTTGAACAAAACTCGGCTTCTGCACTGCTTCGGGCAACCACTGTCTGTTTCTTGCTTTTCCATGTGACTAAGTTTTTCCACACAAATGAGCAATACCCTAAGGTAGAACGTCGATCATGGATGGATTCAACTCAATCATCAACTGTATTAATTGCAATAGAACG